CGAGCGATGGCCGCCCTCCCTTGCACATGTCGGTTTGCGCAACCACCAGCCGGTGGTGGGCGTTCCGGGAGGCCGTGGAGCTGCTTCCGCGACAAAGCGGTCTCGGTCTCTCGACCAAAAGCGGCGCCTGCGTGCTTTCGTCGCGACGGCGATGGGGCATAACCAGCGTCAAGGCGGTTGACACCAAGCGGTGCCGTGCCCGTCGACATGCTCTTCGACGATGAAGGCGAGCGCGCAGCGTCGCGAGCTTCGTCTGGTGGCCGCTGACATGCTCTTCGGGCAGCGGCGGCCGCCGTCGTGCGTCGAAAACTCGTCTGACGGCGGCGGTTGTAATGTCGAGGCGTCACGGCCGCCATGCTCGGGATATCGACAATTCTGGAGCTTAGACAGGGGGGTTTTGGAAAATTGCGCAGCCATGGTGTACAGCTGCCATTGTGGCACTGCCACGTCGGCTGTTGGCGCTTGCGTGGCGGGCTTTGGATCTTTGGTGCTTGCGCGCGACGACGAAGATTAGCGACCTAGAGCACTGTTCGTTTGAACTTATCGATTGAACTTATCAACTAGAATCTACATTATTTTCTCTCACAACCCAAACAATTTCAAATTTTAATTTTAATAACAACCCAAACGCAGACCCATAGATCGTTGGTTTTTTAGTTCGAAGACGAAGACTCCAAAAGTTTGAAAACCCAGGGTGTATTTTATCCTATAATGGCCCTGTTCGCTTCTATTGTAATCCGTACTTTTCAGCTTGTTTTTTCAGTTGGAACGGTGTTTTTCTCTCACAACAAATCAGCCGAAACAGTGTTTCGACATTTTTTTTTCAATGAACGAACGGATCCACTACATCATACATAATTATTATATCACTTGCATTATCAAATCAAAGTCTGAAATGTTACACCAATGCCTTGTTTAGATGGTAAATTTTTGCAATCCGGACAACATAGTACGCTTTACGTTTGTATTTGACAAACTTTGACCGATCATGGACTAACTAGGCTCAAAAGATTTGTCTCGTGATTTACAACAAAACTGTGTAATTAATTATTTTTTACCTACATTTAATGCTCCATACATATATCCAAAAAATTATTATGATGAAGAAAGAGTAAAAAAAACTTTGGAATTTTAATGGGATCTACCCGAGGCCCAATATACTGTGGGTATCGGAATACTTCTCTGGCAATTCCAAATCGCGTCTCCGAATCTGTATGAATTGACTGCCGCGGTCCCCTCCGTCTGAGACCCTCCTACCAGTCCATGTTTAGTTCACTATAAAATCTAAACTTTGACACTATAAAAAAAGAAGATTTTTAAATCAAATTTATAATATATACGTGAGAGTATTAAATGTTGATAAAATTAAAAGCTAATTACGTAATTTAGTTATAGTTTGTGAGACCGAACGAACGTTTAAGACTAATTAATTGGACAAACGAAATGCTAACGGCGCCGATTCATGGCAACTAAACATAGCCCCAATTATTTTTCTCTGTCGTGACGTGAAATGAATGAAATCCGCCCTGTCAGACGAAGACAGAGCGTTGCCAGTGCGGAGCTTCTTGATCCGCTCCGGCTGTTCCCGTGGACCGTGGACCGGACTTGGGGTTGGGGGAGGCCCTCTGTCTCCAACTCTCCATGGATGAGGCAGCAGGACTGCTGTTGCAAGAAGAGGGTGGAGGTGGGGACCACGAACCACTCCTCCTTCCACTTCCACAGGTGAACTCCCTGATTACCATCTCTCTGTGGTTCAAATTCCATCCCGTAGTTTATCGTAGCCAGTCTGTGAGATTCAGTTAGTATTCCTTTCCGGGCCAGCTATTTTGTTCCTTTCTTTGTTTAACGAAAATTCCTGCTTGAGGAATCCATCCCTCGAGTTCAAGTCAAAACTTGTGAGGCATTCAGAGTTCTTCAGTTTCTGTTTATGAATTTGTGATGCCATGTTTTCTGTTCGAGAAAAATTGTGATGCCATGTTTTGCATGGTAATGTATTTGATGCTAATTCGGAGTTCAGGCAAGTGGGTGGAAAATCCGACTGCCCAAAATAGATGTGTAGTTCTATTTCGACAGGGATTTGTTGAACGCCTACCGTTAATTCATAACTGTTTGCCCATGTTGGGAAGATTGATGGGAAGCAATTAAGTTCCTTTCCTTTTTCTCTGTCTTTCTTTTTGGAGGATAAAAACAGTAGCACTGCTAAAGCATTACGAAAGTGTATGTAATCCATTTAGGCCTTGTTCGTTTCATCCCTAAACCATGGGAATTGAGGGGGGATTGGAGGTGATTGAGGAGGATTTTGACTTGTAGAGGATTTAATCCCCCTCAATCCCTCCCAATCCCCTTGGTTTTAGAGCAAAACGATCAGGGCCTTAGGTGGTTTAAGCCTAAGTGCTAGTGTTATCTTTTAGCAGGACGCTGGCCTTTACACAGGTGATGGATCTGTTGATGTCAAAGGGCGCCCTGCATTAAAGCGCACTACAGGCAATTGGAAAGCATGTTTTTTCATCCTAGGTAATTTTTTTGGCAGATGCATATGCCAGAAAACTTTGGCGCATAATTTGGCATGTTCATATTCTGTTACGCACACTATTCTTCGGTTTGATATATGATCACATTAATAATCTCAACTATCCATTGTTAATGTGTAATATGTGATTTTGTTTTGCTTAGGAGGTCAAACTTCCAACATGTTCACCTCTTCTTACAAGTGCTTATATAGTTTCACATACCTAAGATTCTCCATAGGCACTTGGCAGGCGCCCGTGCTGCAGGTAACCAAAAGAAAATCCTTGATTTTTTTCTATAAAGCATCTCTCCAAACATCTGCATTGTACATGAAATTTTATATCCTCAGGAAAATCATATATTCAGCATTAGCCAGAACAGTCAGAGTCATATAGCACAACACGTTTCAAGACTAACCCATATTACAGATCATAAGGTAAATTGAAGCATTCCTGCACTTTATAAATCCAGAAACAAGTTTTGCCAAGTTTCAGCATTGCTAGTCTTTTGACAGGGAATGAGTGTTGTGAAAGGTTGGCCTACTACGGAATTGCGAAAAACCTAGTTACTTATTTGAAAGTGAAGCTTCATCTAGGCAACCTCGAGGCTGCAAGACATGTCACCACTTGGCAAGGGACATGCTATCTCACTCCCCTTGTTGGAGCCATCTTAGCAGATTCTCATTGGGGAAATACTGGACAATTGCTGTTTTCTCATCAGTTTACTTTATTGTAAGTACAAAGATATTGCCACCCAAGTAATAACCATATTTTAGTACAATATCCATCCCATGCTAACTTAGAAAACAAAATAAAATCTTTGTGGCATATACTACTTAATAATTTATGGATAGTCTTTATTCTTATATTGTGGAGCCCACTGAGCATTAAAAATGAACATGTAGGATATTGGATTGCATCATTAGTGTCAGACTCAGATTAACTTGAACATTTTAATATTTTCATTTTCTTATATTTTTTTATCATGTGAAATAAATGTCTACCCTAGCCTGAAGCACTAGTTAAATCAAGTATATGACTTCTTTTTCTTTACTGAAGGGCCTGGCTATTTTGGCGCTGTCAGCATCAGTCCCAACATTGCAGCCACCTTCATGTTTAAGAACAGTTTGTCCAGAAGCAAGCTTACTTCAGTATGGCATATTTTTTGTTGGTCTCTATATGATAGCCCTAGGGACTGGAGGTATCAAACCTTGCGTCTCCTCCTTTGGAGCTGATCAATTTGATGACACTGACCCAGCAGAGAGAGCTAAGAAGGGTTCCTTCTTCAATTGGTTCTACTTCTGTATAAATATTGGTTCATTCATATCAGGCACTATCATAGTGTGGATACAAGATAACACTGGCTGGGGAATAGGATTTGCGATTCCTACTATATTCATGGCATTAGCTATTTCATTCTTCTTCACAGCTTCAAATAAGTACAGATTCCAAAAACCTGGTGGGAGTCCACTCATAAGAGTGTGTCAGGTAGTTATAGCAGCATTTAAGTAAGTGGCACATTGAAGTGCCACATGATACATCTCTCCTTTATGAAGTTGATGGCCAAACTTCAGCAATTGAGGGAAGCGGAAGCTGGAGCACACAAATGAGCTCGAGTAATTCTCATTCTCTGTGATGGAGTCACTACTTACTACTTTAGTTTCAGTATCATGTGGCACCACATTTATGTAATCTTTGGAAATGACAGTACTTATTATATGCATAAAGACATTGAACTTCACTACAAACTTTTTACTGTCTCAACTTGAGGATACTGGAAAATAAGTACATAAATGCAATGAAAAATAAATAGGAATTATTCATAGGATCAGACAACCATGATACTTTCTCCCATACAATTGAATTATCCATACTTTGGCATAATATATTTCATATGTTCAGAATGAAATAATGATACGAGCTTATTTATCTTGAAAAGTACTGAAGTAGTTTGATAACAATATATTGCAGCCGAAATTAGTTGTAAAAGTTGCTTTTGGGGGGACCATTTCAAATTGCCAATGTCCTAAACAACACTTCTTTGTGAGTTTGTGACAAAGAGTAGTAGTATGTTGTAGTTCTATTAGACATCCAATACAATAGGAATAGTGACTGCCACTTAATTGTCAATACTCAGTAGTCAATAGTAATCCAAATCAACTTGGAACTCCATAGAGGAAGCAAATGCATCGTGACACCTGTTACTGTGTACTTGTGATCTTGTTAAATGCTTGCTTGTAAATGCAATGTTTGGTAACATAACTTAAGCCTCAGGACAGGACTAGACACATGTTACTTGCATCTTGTACCCTTCTTTTCCTTCTTAATACAAAGATACGCAGCTCTCTTGCGTGTTCCAGAAAAAACATGTTACTTGCATAATTGTCTTTTTTCAAGTATGTTACACCTGTAAGCAGCTTGATTTGCAGACTTGTCTTTTGTTGTGTGACTACAAGTCTACAATAACATTTTAGCTACCTCTCTTTTGTGTAGGTTCCTTGATAGAGCTGCCGTTATCTCACCTGCTGATCTGAAGAGCGAATCCTTTACAGACTCATGGAAGCTTTGCACAGTTACCCAGGTTGAAGAATTGAAGATCCTAATAAGAATGTTTCCCATTTGGGCTACTACTATCATATTCAGTGCTGTTTACGCCCAAAACTCTTCCATGTTCATAGAGCAGGGCATGGTTCTTGACAAAGCGCATTGGATCTTTCAACATTCCTCCTGCATCTCTCTCAACTTTTGATGTAATCAGCGTCATCATATGGGTTCCACTTTATGATCGCATTCTGGTGCCAATAGCTAGAAAATTCACCGGAAGGGAGAAGGGTTTTTCGGAGCTACAGCGGATGGGAATTGGATTAGTCCTGTCAATTCTTGCGATGGTATCTGCAGCTCTTGTTGAGTTGAAGCGTTTAGAGATTGCCAGGTCGGAAGGTCTTATTCATGAGAAGGCTGCTGTTCCAATGAGCATTCTTTGGCAAATACCACAATATTTCTTGGTGGGTGCTGCTGAGGTGTTTACTTGTATAGGCCAAGTTGAGTTCTTTTACGATCAGGCCCCAGATGCCATGAGGAGTTTATGTAGTGCATTTGCACTTATTACAGTCTCACTGGGAAGCTATATAAGCTCCATCATACTTACGTTGGTGGCGTACATTACAACTCAGGCAGGAGATCCTGGATGGATCCCTGACAATCTGAATGAAGGCCATCTCGACCGGTTCTTTTGGTTAATTGCAGGGATAAGCTTTGTGAATTTGATAGTTTACATGGGTTGTGCTGTGAGATACAGATATAAGAAAGCCTCTTGATTATATTTACGTGAACTCTTGTAATGTGATTCCTGGTGCCATACTTAGTAAATACAATGCATTGTACAGACTTCTGAAGTCCTGCGATTCACTGACTGACTTTCTATTGCAAATCCTACTGTAATTTATTACATGCAGAATAAAGTATCTTGTGATTACTTTGTCTGTGGCAGTAGAGTTATTGCCTTGTTCTATGAAAAAGCTTCCAATTGTTTGTTCAAAGTAGGCCTTTGTGCTACTTGTTTGCTTGAAATGTAGCCACCCTGTTCCGCCTTTTTTGAATTGTGATTGCTTTAATTTCTTTCATAGTAATACTCCATACCATACATGGATCCAAGTAAAAACATTGCAAAGCAGCCTTTCGCTGCCAAACTTAACACCACAAATTCCATTCTCCTTACGTACATGATCTGTTACTAAGAAAGAGCAGCAAAAGAAAGACATCAACATTTTATTACTTCAGCAAACAGATGGGATGTGCAACGTTTAGTAAGCCTACATCCATGTAGGTTTGCGTAACAGATATTCTGTCAGGTTGTGAGTCCCTCGCCTTTCTTCTGCATTTGACAAAAGAAACAGCTGGAGCATGTGCATGCTCATCTGCAAAGGAACAAGCGAAATGAGTGTTTAGTATTCCATGGCAGATCTCTCGAGACAGAAGATCACAGAATTTGCAGAAGGAAAGGTTCAAGTGCCATTTTGTTGTAGTTTGCCTAGGTACCGCAAAAAGCTAACTTCCCAAACAATGCCACAATATCAGTACTGCCGTACATTGGCCTTAGTCATTTCCGGTCTTAAAAAGTCAAAAGTTAAAAAACCATTTCCTTGTATATGCAGCACAGATCACCAAAAATCCCTGCAAGAACAACTCCCATTCTTGAAGTGATGGAACCTATTAGAGTCCCTGACAATGATCTCTCTCTGCACAATCTTTGATATTAACTTAATAGTGGTATGACAGTCCCCACAAATGCGCAGATTCTTGAAAACCTTGATGGGAGCACCCTTCGGAGTAGCAATGATTCCAAAAGCAACAGCAAGCCGCTCGCTATGATAACCAATGTCCTGCTGCTTCTGCTCGTCTTCTACATCATGGAGAACAAATCCGGTGTCTGCCACATACCCTTCTTCCCTCATCTTCAGATACAGCTTCTTCAGAAGCGCATATATTTCTTCAGCTTGAGGATGCAACTTATCCCCAACCAGAAACACATGCACCCTTGTCCCAGCTTCAATCCAACTTGAGGCTGGCATTTTAATAATCGCTTTAACTCCATGATCCGTCTCGTATTCTCAACTTCATCAAACAAACCAACTGATGCATAAATATTGGCTAGAGTAACATATGTTGCTGGATTTTCAGGTTCAATTTCAAATAATGCTTCTGCTGCCCACTTTGCGAGGCGGACATTCTTATGAATCCGGCAGCCACCAAGCAAGGACGCCCATAGGAACTTGTTAGGCTTTACAGACATTGTGTCGATCATCTCTTCTGCTCGCTCAAACAGGCCTGACCGGCTGAGGAGATCAATCACACAAGCATAATGATCAGCAGTGTGCTCAATACCATATTCATCCTTTATCGAATGGAAGATACCCAGACCTTTATCGACCAGGCCAGCATGAGCACATGCAGATAGAACACCAACAAAGGTGACATGATCAGGCCTGAATCCGGACCTCAATAACATGTCGAAGTAATGCAATGCCTCATCTGGCTGCCCATTCTGTGCATAGCCAGAGATCATGGCTGTCCATGACACCAAGTCCGGCTTTGGCATCCCCTAAAGACACCCACTGCAGTTCCCATGTCGCCGTACTTGGAATACATGTGCACAAGCGCACTCTCTGCAAAGCATGAATCCCCTGCCCTGCTCTTTGTCATTCGACCATGCACCTGCTTCCCGAGTTTCTCGCAGGTGAATTCTGCGCAAGCACGCAGAACCCCGCATACGTGAACTCATTCGGTTGAATGCCACTCCTCAGCATGCGCACGAACAGCCTGAAGCCTTGACCATCGCGCCCGGCGTCAAAATACCTCTCCACCATGGCCGTCAAGAGACGACGTCCCGAACCGGCATCCTATCAGACACGCTCCTCGCGTCGTCCACGCGCCCGCACTTGGCGTACATGTCTGCGAGCGCGCTCCAGACGACGGCATCCGCGTCGATCCCTCTCCTGACCACGTGGCGGTGCAGCTCCCTCCCGCGCGCGCGCACCGGGCGGCCGTGGCCGCGGCGAGCGCGCTGGACGCGGTGAACTCGTTGTCCGCGCCGGCGCTCCCCGGCTCCCGCAGCATCCGGCGGTAGATCGCGAGCGCGGCGCGGGGCTGGCCGTGGCGCGCGTGGGCGGAGATGACGGCGGACCAGGAGAAGTGGTCCCTCCGGGGCATTCGGTCGAACAGCGCGCGCGCGGAGGCGAGGCCGCGCGAGGAGCAGCCGAGCGCGGCGACGAGGGTGTTGTAGGAGCACACATCGGTGCTTGGGAGGGAGGCGAGGAGGGCGACCGCGTCCGGGAGAGTGGCCGGGTGGGAGGAGAGCAGGTGGAGGATGCGGTTGGAGAGGAGCGTGGAGGGCGGCCGGAATGAAGCGACGGCCGCGGCGATCGCGCGCGCCGCGGAGGCGTGGGAGGCGTCGGCGCGGAGGAGCGGGAGGAGGCGGTCGACGGCGTCGTGGAGCTGGGACGCCGTGGTTACGGACACCGAGAAGGAAGGGTGCTTCATGCGGATAGCGGCTCGCGACGGCATGCATGGCCGCCGTGGTGAAAGTGATGAAACTAAACGAGCTGAGCGAATACTGATACGCGGGAAGCGGCAATGGTGATCCGTGAATGCGACTCATTGCTGCCGGCGAGGAAAAGGAACATACTGTTAAGGCTAAACAATGGCTTCTAAAATCTGTAGCCGCTGAGAGCATCTCCGCTGGTTCTCAAAACCCACTCTCAATCTTGAGAGTTTTCAAAACTCACTCTCAATCTTGTTTACAAACTTTCAACACTTAAGAACCGAGTTCTCAATGCAAATGTACAAAATAGAAATAAAGTATAAAAGTACAAATGACAAGATAGAAAAAAAAGTATAAAAGTGGTTAAGATAATTTAAAAATAGTCCAAGATTCCTTACACGAAATTGCCTTCTATATTTTAGAAGCGAGATTTTGAAAACGGTTGGTTGATCCAAACAAATGAACAAATGTACTTAGCCTCTTGAAAAACTCATTGGTTTACCGAATCTGTTTTTAGGAACCATTAGAGATTCTCTAATGCAACTATTCCAATTGATTGACATTGGAAAAAAATGAGCTGCTTTGCACAGTTGCATCAAACTGACAGCAGGAGCGTGAATTCGATGCCCAAACCATGACTGAAAGAATTTGCGTGTTGCAAGCACCACAGGTTTGAAAGGGATGTCAATGAAAAATCAAATCCAATATTTGCACTGACTGGAAAGGGGTTCAAACATGTCTTCTACATCATGTACAGGTAGAACACAGGTGAAGTTTTCAGATCAACTGCTTGCATTGAGCTTAAACACTGGTGAAAGGGGTGAACTCAATTGCTGCAGGCGACAATCTATTGACAGATCCGGAGCAAAACACATGCAGACACAAACAGGCTTGGTGCCTACCCTCCGTTATCATCACCTTGGCAGCAGATTCATATCGATGGATCTTCCAGTGCTGCAGTGGTGAAGTCGTTGATTCGTGGATATGCCGCCTTTTCGTCCAGTTGATTTTGTGTCCACTTCAACATCTTTAACAAGCTTGGAAGCTTCGGATCTGCCAATATGGGAAAAGGAATATACAGAGGAGCTTCAGTAAAGTCACAACATATCCGAACAAGGGAGGTAGTAGTTTGTGATTCCAAACAAATAAGACAAACATAATTGCATCGTGTACTGAATTTTAGTGTAACCTGAATAACTTAGGTGCTAAAAACAATTTAAATTTGAGCGTTGAAAATTGTAAACACATATCGTAAATTCTTTAAAACATTCCAGTATATATCGATTTAATTAACACTTTATAAGCACAACAGTTGAAGGGCAGGCCTGGTGCAAACGGTAAGTCTTACCGCCTGTGACCGGAAGGTCCCATGTTCGAGTCGCGGTCTCCTCGCATTGCACAGGCGAGGGTAAGGCTTGCCACTGACACCCGTCCCCAGACCCCGCACAGAGCGGAAGCTCTCTACACTGGGTACGCCCTTTTTTTATAAGCACAACAGAAAAAAAAAAATGGGCCTATACATTTAAATATCTGGACCTGTTGGTCAGTCGCTGACTGTCAAGTTGCAGTCATAATACAACTGCGCAGGATTCAGGTCCACGATACTGCTGAGCCTTACATGTTAAGACAGATGGGATAGTGATAAAATTCATCATTCCTTCTCCAGTAACAGAAACTAATAGAGTTGGCTATAATCTACTCCATTCGCTCTGAAATGTACTTCGGTTTAGCTTTGTCCTAAGTCAAACTTCTCTAAATTTGACCAAATTTATAGAAAAATGCACTAATAACATCTACAACATCCAATTAGTTTCATTTAATACATCGTGTATATGATATAAGACAAAACTAAAAGAGTTAAATGCATGAGCGGCCACTGAACTTGTCAAGGGGTACCACTTAGGTCCACAAACTTTAAAAACACATTTCTGGAGACATAAACTTGTTAAGTGGTGCACCGCAGTCGTCGGTGCGGTCCAGAAATGGATCTGCAGTGCACCATTTAGCAAGTTTAGGGATGTACGGTCCACCAATTGACAAGTTTAATGACCCAGAAATACATGTTCAAAGTTTGTGGACCTAAGTCGCACCCCTTGACAAGTTCAGGGGCACGCTCATGCATATATCCAGGGGCTGTTTGGATTGATGACTGCCAGGCAAGAAGCTGCCCAGGCATCGATCTCCACCCCAGGCGTCCAAAAATCGGACGCCTGGGGGAGCTCCTTGCGCCAGGCAACTTTGCCAGGGCAGTAACCAAACTAGCCCTTAATCCAAACTAAAATGACCTATATTTAGGGCTGGAGGGAGTATTTTTCACAACCTTGAAGTTGTTACATACAAACTTAATAATTTGATAAATTCAATGTCAAATGTTTCAAGGGGTATAAAATGAGAATAGATATGACCCTGTTTCAGTTTTTCCACCTCCTTTCTTCTCAATTATTAAGATATATTGATACCAGCCTCACTTTCCTATATCCAAATATAACTTTGACTGGTTTAATTTAAATAGCAAACTAATCAATGAATGGACATTTACACATGAAAAGGATTTGATGTAAATTCTGCTAAATTAAATCTTGAACTAAACAGTAGATGTTACTAACCTTTCTCATGACTTTGGCTTGTAAGAATAGCAGCATTAACTTCACTTGCAGTCTTCAAACGTTGAGAAACATCCAATAGTTCCCCATAAGGGCAATTTTTACATCTTCAAAAACCAGTAGTGCTACGGTTTTTCTATCTCTTCAAGAAAGCGTTTGCTTTCTGCGAAATCAGGGGAAAAAAGCAGAAACCACACAACATGTCTTTAAAAGCGGTTCAGTTGCATGTTGAATAAATTAGATCTGAATCCTGAAATTAAAATGAAGTATAAAGGTAGATCTAAAAGATACATTTTCTTAAGCCTCTCGGTGCAAGTTCTTCTTGAGCAAACTCCAAAGCTTCATTTATTTTCCCTTGAATCAATTCTATTAGTTTCTGTTGCTGGAGATGGAAGTATAGTTGGGGATTCGTGTCCAGAATCTGCAAACATTCATCCAAATCAGCATAACAATTAAGGAGACATGAGTTAACAAATGCTTAGCTCCTCCCAGAAGAACACAAACAAATACAAATGCTTCTAATCTATATCTATTACCTAATAATATATTAAAGTATCTATTACCTAATATTAAAGTACCAATTACCTAATATTAAAGTACGGTGATTTCTTTGGTCTGTTGTCTCTCACTCCCACCCCTTATTTGGTCCCTCACACGGTCTGCCATCCCTCACTTCAACCCCTCTTCTTCCGTCCATCGGTCAGCCGTCCCTCACTCCCACCCTTCTCGCTTTTACCGATCGCAAACCTCGGTCCGTCATCCCCCTTACTCCCACCATTCTCACTTTCACAGATGACAAATGTATACCTAGGAGTTCAAGGCCGGGGCCCAGCCGAGGTAGACTCTATCCTTCTCCAATACGGCATCGGTCACAATTTGAAGCTACAAAACCATCGCTGGCGCTGCACACTCATGTCATGGCCTGGCTGGCCAAGCCCGAGTTCGTGCGTGTCAAGACTCAGCACGGCTCGGCACATGCGGGCTTGTGGCTCGCCTTCCATCTTACTCAACCTCACAACAAGTTCACACAATAGCCACCCATTTAAGTTGAATCAATCTCCTGACAATTTCTCATGCAGGATTAATCCTTTGTTGCACCTAGCATTTATTATGGGCATTGGGATTTAATTGAATTATTGAAATAAGGTTGGGCCAAGCCCAATTAAGTCCAACAAAGATATAGCTAGCTCCAGGTGACCATGCAACAAGCTGTGCATCCCATTGCAATGTCCGGGAATGTTTGCTAGTATATCGAAAAATAATGAGCATTAAATGACAGAATTTTAATGACCTTGAGGATAGGGCTTCTCCTTTTTTAAGAAAAGGATAATAAAACAACACAACTGTCACAGTAAATCACTATCCGTGCAATATGACTGATTTTTTTCCTGGTCATCTATGTTATCTGAGTTGTATGTAAAAATGAGCCCGAACCCTCCTATAAATAAACATTTCACAAAACTTGTTAGCTATTTCCAAGCAAAGGGACAACGAAGGTGGAAACACCATTCTGAAACAGAAAACGCTTGTGGAAAAAGGATGTCACATTGGATCCTCGTCTCATCACTCATTAGTGTTGGGCAAACATAACAATCAACTGAGTTTAGTCAGTAATCAATGAGGTGCCATATTTATACTGTTGGGCGTTTTTTCACATTCGAAATAATTGGCCCTAACTCCTAGATTGGTCCAAGTATATTGGATGCTACTTGTTAAGGGTTTCAATTGTTTCTACCGGTTACAAAGATGTTCAAAACTGCAACCTGCTCAGCAGGAATCTCCAGCTCTTATTTGAACAATCAAGTATGGCAAACGCGGACAACTAATATAAAGAGTAGAATAACCAGTAAGAACTGATGATCAAATCAGAAACATATCATTTGACACAACAGGAAGCTCCTGCATACTCTCCAAAGACATGACAGGTCATCAAATTAGATTGGGAAAGGATTCTGTTCCTGTATTCTAAACTAGTTGAAGCTCTAAACCGAATATGCACAACCAGCAATCACAGCCTACTTCGAGATCTTCCACAACACAGTAAAATACCTAAATGTGCATCTCGGCCGTTATTCCTTCATTCCAAATTTCCAGACAGGCTCAACTTAAGCTGGAACTAATTTTGCAAGTGACAGAGACAGAATCGAACCGTGGGGTTAAGATCGTTGATTTTCTCGATCGCCTCCTGAACATTACCCGACTGTACTGCTCTCTTAACCTCCATTCGATCCGTGATGGTCGCTAGGTCAACCTCCGTTGCAAAAATAAAATTAGAAATTCAACAAATTCCCCGAGAAGTTCAATAGCGGAGAGAAAGAGGAGCGTGCAATACGCTGGGTGCCGGACTCGATGCGGAACTTGTCGGCGGCGTCAACGAAGCCCTCGGTGACGAGAAAGTTCATGACGAGGCGGTTCATATCCTCCTTGCGGATCTTGACGTCGCGGAGCTTCCGCTCCCACTCGTCATGGGTCACAACCTTCTTCGAGGACACCATGGAGACCGGGGAGTCAATGGAGTCCAAGTCGCGAAGTACGATGCGGGAGAGGAACATCAGATGCGGGGGCTAAGGGAGAGATGGGGCGGACTGCTGGTCCGATCACACAGGCGCCATAAGCCTGCAGCGACGGGCGGCGAGGCAACGGGCTGGGGTTTCGCCGCAGGGAGGGGGCAGCCGGAGGATGGATTGAGGACTTGGAGAGAAGCCGAGGATGAGTCGACGTCGGGAGACCCCGAGAGTCCGGAGGCGAAAGAGTTGGTTGTTACTTGCAACAGTATCCAACCGCCTACTGTGGCAAACTAGAAAATTAATTAAGCCCTGTTTAGTTCGCGAAAAGTTTTTCCAAAAAGTGCTACAGTATCCGTCACATCGAATCTTGCGGTACGTGCATGGAGCATTAAATGTAGACGAAAATAAAAACTAATTGCACAGTTTGGTTGGAAATTGCGAGACGAACGTTTTGAGCCTAATTAGTACATGATTGAACACTAATTACTAAATAAAAACAAAATTGCTACAGTAGCCAAATTTCGCACTTTTCGCGAACTAAACGCGCGCTAATAGGGTTTTCACAGTTCGTACAATGATTATAGTGAAATTTTCTTATTTGCAATGCAATAGTCTACTAGGGGAGCTGTTCGTAGAGGTGAAGCTAAAAAAGTTTCACCGATAAGGTAAAGTTGTGTTGAATGTGACATAATACAAACTTCGCTATACCACACAAATTGGGAGCTTCGCAGGCAAAGCCTGGCCATCCATGATTTGCAAGAAATCCAATAGTAACAAATCAAATTCAAACAAGCAAAGGTCACTAGTGCTCAAAAGATTTAGATAGATGACAACTTTTCTCATATCCTCAAATCCTCTCAAAAGACGGCGTGTTCGTTGGTTGGTGCTGGTGCTGGCTTGGACTGGCTGATGCTGGTTTTTTTAGAGAAAAACACTGTTGGCTGGTTGAATAAGTCTGGCTAAAACCAACAAGTGAACAGGGTCAAAATATGGAATGTAAGTACACTAGCCAGAGAGGAAGAAAGAGAGCTCTAAATATGTTTAACTTGAGATAGGTCGTTCTGGTGTCCAAGAGTTACAAAGAGACAGGTGGAGGGGTATATACTCTCTCCTTCTCAAGTAGTTCTTACTGTGCAAGTCAAGCATGGACAAAAAATCGAGAAAACTTAGAGCTCGAGCACATATTAGATGAGAAAAAAATGTCAGGTCCCAAAAATTCTGACCGTTGACCAGAATTGGTGGTCACATAAATAGTGAACCTTAGTGAGCATTAAATCATAAAAAGTCACGAAATTTCAATGGATCTGAATTTTCGGTCAAGACCTAGAATTTCCGACCACATAACAGTTAGCACTCATTTTGCAAAATAAAGGGTCATCTTCTATCATGTCTAGGTTTTAGTTTGAAACTTTTGAGCAATTAGAAACTTTTCATAGAACAACATTCCTACTACATAAAGATATTCAAAAGAAATCACGAAACAAATGATGCTTCCAAATTTATGTCCTTTTTGCCATAGGCTTTGTTGTGTATAGGGTTGTATATCGAGCCAGCTCGGCTCGTTATAGCTCGGCTCGTTATGGCTTGTTATACAAACGAGCTAGAAGACTAGGTCAGCTCGGCTCGTTAGCGAGCTCGAGCTAGCTCGTTTGGCTCACGAGCCAAAGCACAAAATACAGTACATAGAGATTATAATCTCCAGTTAGCAATAAACATATCACATGCATATTTATAATGGAATAAACAAAATACTTATGAATTTTAAACTCGTCTCGCGTGAATATGATGTCGTTGGGTAGGCCGGTGGGGTAACTAGGTAGGGCCATGGGGTCTATTGGTCTAGGATTTTAGTGTTTAATCGTGTTGGACCATAGGCGGGGATATATGGACTGCTTAAAGTTGTATTGGGCTAGACCGAAGGATATATGGGCCGATTATAGTTGTTGTCATGTGAATTACCTTGCTTGTTTTGGCTTTATGAAAGCTGCTCACAAGCTGGCTCGTTGATTAACTTAAATTGCCACGAGCTGGCTTGTTAAATAAAAATTCAAACGAGCCGAGTTCGAGCCGAGCCACTAATGAGCGAGTCGAGCGAGCTGACGAGTTACGAGTTTTTCGTCCAGGCCTAGTTGTGTATCGAATTGGGAGGTCTCCTTTTTCCAACTGCACTTTTCACTTTTAATAAAAACAAATGTTCCACAATTTTTGTCAGACCTTTATTTGTATTGTCATTAAATCACCAAAATCCATGAAATGATTAGATGCACTTTCAAATTCCAACTCTCGGTTAACCTAAAGAACCAAATTATATGAATTGTACTTCACTCATTTGTATTCTGGAAGACTTGGTTTATGTATGATGTCTCATATTTGTAAGACTATGTTTAGTTTTATCCATGATGTCTCATATTTGAACTACTATAGATTTGTGTTATTACTAGAAAACTTGCACGTGCATTGCAACGGGATCCAATACATAGTGAGTTGTAGCACGGGTCATAAGTTCGAGTAAAAAATTAAATTAACTTAGTGGTAAAAATCTTTGTTTCTAGAGGAGTTGAAGATTAAAATGGGTATGATCTCTTATTTATTGTTTGTTTTACTCTTATTATATTTATTAAAACAAGAAAAAAACCAAGCGGAGAAACAATGAAAACAAAATAAAAAAAAGTCAAGCCAGTGTCAACAACATCCACGAGAAAAGAATCTGAGCATGCTGGAAGCCAAGTAGAAACACAGTCATGACAAAAATTAGAATGTACTCTAGAAAATAGCCACGAAAAAAATCAGAACATATTCGGAGCCAACTGGAAAGCGTCCAAATAAACGTAAAGCAAGACGTACTCGGAGCAAATAAAAACGGACAAACCAAAAAAGTGAAAAAAGAAAAAAAAAGAAACTAAACCAAGAAATTCTACCCTTCTTTCCTCTTAATTAGATTTCAATTCTTATATTTTTGCACTTGGATTAAGATTCCTATTTCGGTTACTCGGAGTTGAAGAGATCTAATTGGATTAAGATTCCTAGTTGTCCATATTAATATATTTTTCATATTTGGATTAGGATTCATATTCACCCGAAATTGGAGAGATCTAATTAGATTATGATTCCTAGTTATATAAAGAGAAGGGCTATATGTGGTTTTCCACATTCACAAAGTTAGTTAAGGGATGGCCGGACCAAAAAATAGGTGGAGAGAAATTTTGCCTCTTTATTTTATATATATATATATATATATATATATATATTATAGAGAGATAGATATATAGATTATTATTAGGTATATATATATATATTATAGGGAGAGATAGATATATAGATTATTATTAGGTATAGATATAGATATAGATATGGCAATATATCAGGTGCAAATCAACCAACCTGTGTAAACTTGAAAACTACCAATCAGGACCACTAGATGTTGATCCACTGGATGGGTGAGGGGGCTTAAGCGCAAAAAAAAAGGCCGGCGAGTGGGGGGCTTAAGCGCAAAAAAATTCCACCTCTCACCCCATCCATTGGATCAGCATCTAGTGGTCTTGATTGGTAGTTTCTAAGTTTGCACAAATTGGCTGGTTTGCACCTGATACGTTGCCGATAGATATTGCTATACTATTTTCTTATCAATTATTATTATCTGCAATAGAGAAAATATTGGTCAAATTTGTTTTAGAACCTGCACACCTTTTTGTTGTCTTTTAACCTCTGCTGAAAAGGTTTAGTTAGTTCAGCGAAAATCGAATTGCTTGGTTTCTAGAATTTCTTAGAATCCATCTGTTCTCGTTTTCTAGAAACCAAATTTGTTTAAGAACCGAGGAACCGAAGCGAAGAACAGATACCCAGGCCTACATACATGATCCAATTCAAAACCCTCTGCATACAAGGAGCAATGCAGCTATTATACTTGGGCCACACAATTCGCTTAGGCATGTGGGCCGATTCATTTAGCCCATTCAGGCCCAGAAACTCTCAGATTGGTGCAACGAAGGCGCTTTGTGTTGTTTCTCTGGGCCTCTGGGGCTTCTCCTACTTGTGCTGTTTGTTCTCCAGTCGTGCGTATCACCGTCTCTTGGATGGGGACACGTAGCAGCTACCGATGGAGAAGTATGAGATACATGCGTGCAGATTTTGTGGTGCGAAGTGCAGTAATCGACAGTCATCTGATCCATTGGGCCACTGGAGAGTGGAGACCAAGACGACGATCAAGGATGTTTACGTTGTAAAACATACGGACTGCAGGAAAGATAAGGAAGGAATCTTAATCCTAATCCATTTATACGTTGACTTTTATCAAACTCTTATATCTTGACAGAATTATATATACGTAAGAGTTCTACGTTGTAATTATCTATGTTCAGAAAAATAAATAATAATCTCTCTATCTCTTATATCTCTGTGTTCTACTTTCATCTACTATGTTCATCATGAGAGATGGAGATGAAAATGTCCAAACCGCTGGCAACATATTTTATAACACGTTATCAGCACGACAAGCTCTATGTCGACATCGCCGCTAAGCAGTAGCCACAGCCTCCGCTCATGCCGGCGTCCCTGCCACGACTACTTCAACGACGTCGATATCCCGACGTTGTTAGTGGAACGGATCTACTACCTCTACCTACAACTAATGTGCACTGCATCGACATGCATCGTCGTCGTCAAGCAGGCATGTCTACGACAATGCCAAACACCATATGCGGTATGTATCTACTAACCACTGCCCTACGCGGCACGTGAGGTAGATCAAATTGACATCCTCTACAGGTATGAAATAATCGCATCTTGTAGATTGCGTTTGTAGTCTCGACTACCGAGCGGGGCTAATGTTTTGCCCTAATTATCTGGCCTGGAAACGTAGTAGATATACGTGCATGTATATTCTACACACAGCCAGTAGCTATATACTCTGTATACTTGCACGTATAAGATGAACTTGTACTAAAACATGCTAGAACAGAAGTACGCCGCAATTGTTGGCTCTTAAGCTGCCGGCGTTCCCGTGGCTATCACCAAGTCGTTGCCGCAAATCGTCCCGAAGAACGTAT